AAGTGCTAGGATTACAGGCATGTGCCATCACGCCCGGCTTTGGCAGAGTAGGGCCAGGAAATCTTCACGGAGGATGTGCCCCTTTAGCCGAGTCTTGCCAGAGAGTAGGTGTTTGCCCAGCACATGGGAATGATGGGGTTGTGGGGAGGAAGGGTGTTCCCCACCCCCACTCCCACTCCGGGGTGAAGCTTGACTGCAGGGGGCCGGGGAAGTGAGGAAGTGCCGGCACACTGTTTTTCCAGGGAGCTCATCACAAAGGGAAAAGAGGAAGGAGAGAGAAGTTGCTGGAAGAATAACTCCCCAGTGGAAGGAGGGAGTTATTTTTAAGTATGAAGAGACTTAAACATGTATGTGGAGAGGCACGGGGGAAGAGGGGAGTGCAGGGCAGTCAGGGATGTGCCTCTGTGAGGGGTAACCACGGGGCAGTCTCAGAAGAGACCGGCAGCGGTGAGGTCTGGAGGCCCCGTGGAGGAATTGATGTCGAACTACAGACAGGACACCTTTCTTTGACAAAGGGGATAAATCCTCTTCTCAAGGGTCTTAAATTCTGTCTTATAGGGCAAATGAGATGATGTATGTTTTTTAAAAAGGAATTATAATATGAAAGAGATGTGCAGGGGGTTGGAGGGGAGACACAGGCTGGAGCTCACGGCTGCAGGAAGGAAGCCGACCGGAGCCTGTCCTCGTGCTGTGTCTCGTGCTGGGCCTGCTAAGACCAGCAGGGAAGTTTCATGGCTGGCCCAGGCCAGTGACATCCTAACGTTTTGGGAGTGTCATCAGAACTTTGTCCCCCTAAAAGCCTGTGGAGCCCAAAGTGCTGGGCCACAGCGCAGACATGGTCCCTGCCTAAGAACAAGCCCCTTTGCTTCTTCAAAGGTTTGGAAGCACAATCGAAAGCTGGAGGCCTGAGATGGTTCCCGTGAGCCACGACAATTTACAGAGCGCCTGGCGGTAGGTGTCGGGCAGAGTCTGTGCTGCCCTGTCCAGGGCAGCCTGGCGGGTGTTGTGTTCTCTGTTCCCCTCTCCACCGGGAAGGAGCTCTCTAGCGTCCCTGTCCTCAGATATCAGAAAACAACGGCCTTATCAATTGAATAGGGCTCGTGGGGGGACCTCCTTCAGTACGGCTGTCCCTGCCTCCGCAGGTGGGCCCTGAACCTGCGGTGTCGCGGCAGCAGGAATGTCCTTGGTGCCCTGCGGAAGGCTGTGGAAGTGGACTTCAAGGACAAAGACAAACACCAATCACAGGGCATCTATCTCTTCACCGGGGGCATCCCCGACCAGGACATGGTGGGTCGGCTGCGTCCTGGGTGTCCATTATCCTCTGCGACCCCATCCATCCTCCCTTGGCGGGTGCCTCACAACAGTTGCTCCAGCTCGATTTTGGAAACCAGTGCTTCCCAAGCTTTAGTGTGTGGACCAGCACCCGGGGATGCTGCTAAAATGTAGGGCCGGTGCAGTAGGTCTGGGTGGGGCCTGGGAGTCTGCATTTCTAACAGGCTCCCAGGACTGTCCATGCTGCTGGTCTACAGACCCCCCTGGTGTAACCAGGCTCTCTGGTCCAGCTCTGCGGCCACACCCTATGAAGATGTTTGTATCCTTGGTGCCAAGTACTAGACTAGGTACACAGTAGGCCCTCAGGAAAGATTATTGGGCTGGACAGACCAGAGCCCAGAAGCTTCGAGGCCCTCAGCCTTCTCTTCCCCCACAGCCCATGCTCAGCTCCTACGTGGCCGAGGCCTGTGGAGGCTGCGACCTCCAGCTGAACGTGTGTCTCTTCTATGTGGGCGAGCCACAGATGGACACCACGCCTCCTGCCTGCTATGCCAGCTGCAATGACACGGCCACTGCCTACAGGGAGGTCACCCGGGCTGCTGGTGGCCACTTCCACTGGTTTGGAGAAACAGGTATGTGAGTGTTGCCTGGTCCCTTCAGTTCTTTCTTTCCAGACAGTTATCTCAGCACCAACAGAGCTCCCTGATACCATAGATGTATTCCCGAAAAGCGTTGCATGAAAATTACATTTTTTTTTTTTTTTTTGAGACAGAGTTTTGCTCTGTTGCCCGGGCTGGAGTGCCATGGCTTCAGCCTAGCTCACAGTTATCTCAGCACCAACAGAGCTCCCTGATACCATAGATGTATTCCCGAAAAGCGTTGCATGAAAATTACATTTTTTTTTTTTTGAGACAGAGTTTTGCTCTGTTGCCCGGGCTGGAGTGCCATGGCTTCAGCCTAGCTCACAGCAACCTCAAACTCCTGGGCTCAAGTGATCCTCCTGCCTCAGCCTCCCGAGTAGCTGGGACTACAGG